CAAAGTTTGATGCAAAAACGCATGATCGCACCGGCTCGCCTGGTGCGTTCCAGCCTGGGTCTTTCACGTCTCCGTCTTGCAAAATAGTTACATGTCCCTTCAATACATGGTGGGTAGGAGTCTGTACTGACGACAATTCCCACTCCTACCCGCATGCATAGTCCGGTCTGTATTTACAGCTAAGGGATGAAACACAAGCTGCATAATAAAATGTCATTTTGTACATGACACTTAAGTCGAATCCTTCTACTCTACTATTCATGTGATTTGTAAGCTTTGGCATACACATCTCCCGCAAAAGAATGAGAGGCCTACTCCAAGATTTGTGGTCATTCATTTTCGTATTTTCGCTGTTCGGACGACCATAACGCATTCATACTTCTTTATTAAACAAAACATGAATACGTGCTATGCGTTCGACTAAAAAACCTTATGTGCTACAATACGGATGCATTAATTTACAATGCTTCTAAAAACTAGGACAACTTCCTTAGGCAAATTTTCCCGCCTTGCTAGGAGTGCTACAATTTGCGTGAAAAAAAAAGAACTGGTCAATTTTTGAATGTGGATGAACCACGTTTTAGTATTAATAAATGTCTGATTTTGATTCAAAGTTTAGTTTGAAGAGAAATCACAATGGTCACGAAATTAATTGCATTATTTCATCGCTGATTTTTCTGCCCGAGCAAATTCTGTTTCCCAACATAGTTTAGTATTTCCTAGCTGATGTCCATTATTGTTGTTTTGACAGACACCACTTCCCATAAATTTTATGGCTCGTCACCGACTTTCTGCGATTAGAAAAGGCCGTTTGGGCATTTCATGTATTAAAATTCTTTAAATTCCATGCATTTTGTTTTGCTTGTATGGACAGCTTTTTGTAAGTGTGGAGGAGGAATGTGGCCCCTTGCGAACCTCTTCCTATATTTTCTTTATTTTCTCTTCAGATTTCTTTTTCCGGTGCTCATTTACTTTTTTAATCTCCGTTTATACATCTCCCAAAAAGTTTCACAGTAAATGAAGCAAATTGCAGGTCTTCACTAGCAAGTTCGCTTAATGAAAGTAGCGGTTGCCGAAACGTACTGAGTACGCTAAGCAGTGTCTATAGCTCGCCAATTCTCCAAGCTCGTATACCATTTCAGCAGAAGATCTTGCTGGCAACGATGCTCCGCCTTGCGGGTGAC